CGCAAGGCTGTATGTAACACTTGATCAAACAATGAATTAATTATCACGCCTATACTTATTATTATTCCAAACTTTCTGAGAGAATCATAAATCAGTGATTAGAGGCATGCTTCAGTGTACCAGTAACACGTTAGATCTAACAGAAACCGAACCCTTCTTCTGAGGAACGTGCAATTGTTTATGAATGTCCAATGTGCACTGAATTTCTCGCCGGATCTTCTCAGTGGGTCGTGATTCCGATCCGATGGTAGATTCTGCGAAGCACTACTCTTGCTAGAGCTAGTGTTAGCAACGTCCTCAGGTTAGAGCCCCATGAGCTCACCTACTCGCTCGGTTACGCTCGAATAACAGGCTAGGTTACCGGTTTAGGTAGAAAAAAAGAAAGAGATAGTATAATTTGATATTATTGCGATATAGCAATTTGACCTGTTCGTTGTTTAAATTAGTTTCTTAGTTACAGAACCTGATTACTATATATATAAAGCGGTCTACCTTGCGATATTTAGTGTTCGGAATCTGTTTGCACCTTTTGTCTGTTTCTGGTAAACATAATACAGAAGGAAGTCTTGACTTGGGGCGGTTTCACTGGGCCCTAAAATTCCTTGGGCTCGCGCCGCGGTCTGCTCCCATCATCTTGCAGATCGTCAAGTCCCGCATACCCCGCGCGCGCCCTAGGCGTGGGGACTTCGTAGGAGGTTCGGCCCCCAGCCAGTAAAAAAGGGGCGGTTTCACGGGCAACTTTTTTTTACGAAATTCAAAAGTTGAAGGACTTAACTCGCTGATGCACAAAGCACACACATTGACGGCGGGCAAAACGTTTTGGTTCCACCCGCCAATCTCTAATCGCAATCGTGTGGATTAAATCAGGCGTGACCGCTACACAAAATCTTTATTAAAAAAAAACAAAAATTTGTACATAGAAACTTGTGTTAAATTACGTGTTTAGTTTAGTAAGTTAAGTCTCAAATTAAACATTAATGAAAAAAGAGGCCGAGGCAGCGAATATGTAGAATTAGCATTAACAAGTTACATGTATATACTACATTACACTAAATGTATAATCTAGAATTTATTCAGGGCATCACAATCTATTAAAGGCTAAACAAAAAATTGCTAAACACTTCGAACCTTGGAATATTCGATTCTATCGCCTGTGTTCTACAATACGTTATACGTATATACCTAGTCAAGTCATAAATTCTGTCACATGTTTAATGTGAAATATTGAAACAAGTTTATTCATTATGTAACCATTCATATACCAAAATGAACTTAACAAAACATAAATTCTTATGACACTAAAGTTTATTCAAAATGACCTCCGTGATTTTGAATACAGGCCTTCAATCTGCGCGGCCTGTCGTCTATCGCAGCACGAACGAGGTCCATGTCAATATCGACAGCTGCCTTAATCAAGGATGTCTTGAGTGACTCCAAATTGGGATGAGGCTTTGAGCACGCCTTTTCCTCCAAATGTTGCCATATCTTGTAATCTAACGGATTCAAATCTGGACTGGAGGAGGGCCAGTCTTCGTGCCGGATGAAGTCGATTTCACGCGCCGCCAGCCAGTCTTGTGTGCTCTTCGCTCTATGAGCTGGCGCCGAATCTTGTTGGAATACCCAGTGCCTGTTATTGAACATGGTATGAGAAACAGGTTCCACAAGGTTCGTCAGGACTGTATTTTGATACACAACTGCATTCGTTTTTACACCTTTCTCACAAAAATGTACCTCTGTTAAGCCCCAATAAGAAACTCCCAACCATACCATGAGCGAGGATGGAAAATGACCTCGT